AACGCAAATTGATCAATATATAACATTTCTTTCAAAGTGACTCTTTCCAGTAACGTTTTGAGGTATTTTCAGCCTGTGAGGCCACTTGAGGTTTTCAAACACCAGTCAGTCAGCCAGGTACCTAGTGCCCTAGCTACTCAAAAGGCTGATATCTGAGGATCATGGTTCAAAGCCAGCCAGGGAAAGAAAGTCTGTGAGACTCTTATCTACATTTAACCAGCAAAAAGCCAGAAGTAGAGATGTGGCCCAAGTGGTAGAACAACTAGACTTGAGCCAAAAAGCTCCAGGACAGTGCCCAGACTGAGTTTAAGCCCCAGGATTGGCAAAGCAACCACCAAACCAGTTAGCAAAACCAGTTAGTTAAATTGAGGGCCTGACGTGACTATGGGGACACACACCAGAAGGTTTCAGCTTCACTAACTCAACTGACCTAGAACATAGGTACTATTGTTGGCCCATTGTTAAGATGAGGAAACAAAGGTTTGGTTGGGGAAAGAAGCAGCATTCAGAGCCAACACAACCTGCCATTCTAGCACACATTTGGTATAGAAGGAAAAATAACCCTCAATAGCATGGTTCTTAGTTGGGTGCCAGTGGTTCATGCTTGTAATCCTAGCTACTCAGGAAGCTGAGATCTGAGGATTGCCGTTCAAAGCCAGCCAAGGCAGAAAAGTCCCTGTGAGACTCTTATCTCCAATTAACCACTCAAAAACCAGAAATGGTCCTGTGGTTCAAAGTGGTAGATGGCTAGCCTTGAGCAAAAAGAGCTTAGGCCCTGAGTTCAAGCCCCACAACCAACCCCTGACCCTCCCCTCCCCCCAAAATAGTGTTGCTCTTGTATGGTATCTCTTCCACATTCTTTCTACTATAATGCCATATTTTATACTATAATATCATATTTTAGTTTTGTTTGTTTTGCTGGTCACAGGGCTTAAACTCTAGGCTTGGGCTCTGTCCCTCAGCTCTTCAGCTCAAGGCGAGTATTCTACCACTTGAGCCACAGTACCACTTCCGTTTTTCTAGTAGTTTATTGGAGATAAGAGTCTCATGGACTTTCCTGCCCAGGCTGGCTTTGAACCATGATCCTCAGGTCTCAGCTCCTCAATAGCTAGGATTACAGGAGTGAGCCACCGGCGCCTGGCAGTTTTTGTTTTTGCTTTTTTTTTTTTTTTATTGTTGTTGATTGTGAGGCCTGAACTCTGGGCCTGGGTGCTGTCCCTCAGCTCTTCAGCTCAAGGCTAGTGCTCTACCACTTGAGCCTCAGTGCACTTACAGCTTTTTCTGCTTATGTGGTGCTGAGGAATTGAGCCCAGGACTTCATGTATGCAAGGCCTGAACCACCTTCCCAGCCCCCATATTTTAGTTTTAAAACAGCTTTGGAAATCTGACTGCTCTTTTTAGGATAGACCAATTAAATAAGTCTGTCAGGATCTGAAACTTGTTATTTTTTTCCCCTTCACATAGAAAGCTGTATAAAATTACTTAAATATAGAAAAAGGTATAACTTGGCAATAGTGAAAAGTGATTAAGTGGAAATTATAGACCAACAGTTAATTTAAAAGGCAACATGACACAGATTAAAATTGTTTTTTAAATGCTCCCAAGGTGGTAAAATTACCTCACAAGACCCAGCATAATCAAGGCAGAGTGCATCAGAAATAAGCTGGAAGGGAACAAAAGCAAAACAATGGAGTTTGTTCTAGAGTTCACTCCCATCAGCAGGAATTCCCAGAAAGTCCAGACATGTTTACAAAAGTGCTTAGTGTTCCATTGGAAACGGAAAGCATTTCCCATGATAGGTGTAAGCCATAGTCAATTAGATGTCTGCTACTGCAAAGCTCAACAAGTATTTATTGAGATGCTGCTGTGAGCCAGGCACTCTGCTAGAGTGCAGAGGCTGTAATAGTGAACAGAGCAGGCCTAACCTCAGGACTGGCATTCTGTTGTTGTCGTTGTTGTTATCTTTAAACAGTTACACAGGAGAGTTCAACTTTTGTGAGTACGATGCATGTGGATCTACAGGGAAGTGGTGCTGTGGACAGAGGCATGTGTGGCTGTCACATGGGGAGTGTTTATTCACCCTATATTTGCAATTATGCAAATAAGAGGCCGTGGCATTGGTTTGTTTCCTAACCCTTAGCCACAGCAGATTGGTCTAAAGGAAGGAATTGGCCATGGTTGGACTAATCAGCTTCCTCTCCTGGGCCTTGGAGTCTGGATGCTCATAGCTGTCCATGGCTCCTCAGTGGAAAAGCAGCAACCATGTACAAGCAGCCAGTAAGGCTGGGGTACCTTCGGAAAGTTCTTCTTGAGTGTCACAGATGTCTTGAAACCTTCCTCCGAGCTCTTGGTAATAATGCCTTTTTACAGCATTATCAGCGGTCAAGAGTGTTTCTACTCATGAAACTGTCAAAACAATATGGTCAAATCTGCTGTGAGAAGACTGGGTAAACAAAGTCACGTGAATTTTTTTTTTTTTTACTGTAGGACCTGTGTGTGTGTGTGTGTGTGTGTGTGTTGAGACTTGAACTCAAGGCTTGAGTGCTGTCTCTTAGCTTGTTTTGCTCGAAGCTAGTGCCTAACCACTTGAACCATACATATCTCTACTTCTGGCTTTTTGATGGGTAATTGGAAATACCCAGCCTGCCTGGGCTGGCTTCAAACCATGACCCTCAGATCTTACTCTCCTGTGTAGCTAGGATTATAGGCATTTGTCACTAGTACTTGGCTACTGCAGAACTTTTTGGAGCCTTTATTTGTTAATATACATTCCAAAACAATCTATGGTGTTGCCCAAACTCCTGCTATACTCTTAACTGGTTAGTCCTGCAGAATGCTTTGGGGAATGCAAATCCATTTATACTATAAGTGAGAAGGAATTAATGCACAGAGAGGGAGAGGATTACCCAAAGCCACACAGCCATGTAACTGTAGAAAATGTCCTGCTGGCCGAGGCCTTCCCATGCTTTTCTCATTGAGCCTTCCTGGACATGAGCTTCCCTGGCTGGATGTGCATGTGCTGGAATTCCTGGGAGGAGGTGAGTGATGGGCATGCAAGTGGAATGTAGACCCAGGAGAAAAGGTGGGATCAAGAATTGAAGCCCAGTCTCCTGACAAGTGGGTGGCAGTTGTGGTTGAGCAGGGTCTGAGATCTAACAGGCCTTGCTGCTGGCCTAGGCTGCCCCAGCCACCTTCACAGTGTGGCCAGGAGGATGGCTCCGGCCTTCCACAAGTTCCCCAAACCACAGGCAGGCTGGAGAAGAAAAAAGCTCAAGGCCCGGTCCATGGCAGGGCCCGCCCAGGCGGCCAGCGCCGGGATGACGGGGGTCTGTAAATCACCCTGTGAACCACAGACCCAGTGCCATCCCCACGGGTTTCCTTTCCGCTTCTTAATCCTCCTCTGCAGACTCAGTAACAAAAAGCAGATTCCTGCTGGGGCCAGCCAAGCACAGTGGACTGGGAGAATGTGAGCCGAGGATTTACCACATCAAGACCCTGCCCGCCTCTCACTTTTCCTTTTCTCCCCACTAAGCCACCATTAGCTGGACAGCTTCCCTACCCCTGGCCCTGAGCCTTCATCGGGCTTGGACCCTGCTTCTAGCCTGGCCCAGCCTATTGGATCTTGGACCACATCTTGGCTGAGCTTCTACTGGCGCCTTTGGCCTCTAAGACACACCAAGGCCTGTGGTTAGCAGCCCTCTAGCCTCATGGTTTGGCTGCTTCCTGTTCCCCAAGCCTCACTTCACCCGGGGCAGCCACTGTGTGGTAGAAGAAACACTGCCGTTCTGGATTCAAATCCTGCTGCCGCCAGCTTTTAGCACCTACTCTCTGTGCTCACAACCAATTACCTTGAGATGGGATGTGAGGAAACACTCTGGCATGTCTGATCTTCCTGACAGATGTTTTGCCTTAACAAGAAGTTAAGTTCAGGGTTGTTGCAGGACAGAGAGAAGGATGTGCAGTCACTTTATTTGGGAGTGTGTTGGTCCGAGGGAGCCTGTGTATTTTTGTCCACATTCCAGGTGGACTTGGACACCACCACCCCATCCTACTAGCTTTGACCTTCCCCAGAGGGTCATTGCCCAAACAGGACCCATGAACTTTCTTCCCTTCCTCCTGCCCATTCTTGGAAGCAAGGTACCTCCTCTGATCAGTTTTCTCCAGATGAGCGTCAAGTTCAACTGCCAATACAGATGCAGCAGGTCAGGGTTTCTACAGACTTTAAGGTGGTCTTATCCAGCAATTTCCAAACTGTTCCCTTAACTCTCAGGTTCTCGGGATGTCTCCATGTCACCAGTGGAGAAAGCACAATAGAACTCAGTCCTTCTCTGTCCCTGTCCCCCTCACCCTCTGATCACCCAAAAGGACAGAAGGGTTAATCTGTTTGTTGGGTCAGCATTCCACAGGTCACACTTGATTTCTACTGCTTAGAAGGAAGTTTGGAAATGACTGATCTGCTTAGGCAGATGGGGAAACTGAGGCTCAGAGAAGTTAAGTGACTTGTATCAGGTCACCTTGCTGGCAGCTGAGGGGCTGCATATAGAGTGCACCTTGGGCCTCCTGGTATAATGTTCCTTTCCAAACTGTGTGGGAGAAGAGGTACCATGGACAGCCACTCCAGTGGGGGGCCAACTAGCCTGAAGAGGAGTTCCCCCCTCCCCCCAGATGGGGCTGAGCCTGACTGGGATCCCTGTGGATCATGGTGTCAGTACCCTGGGTCCCTCCTCACAAGCCAACCAGACAGCAGGGGCTCTAAGTGCAGAGGTGTGGAGGAAAGGGACAGTGTGGGCTTTGGGGGGTATCCAGTCCTGGATTCAAATCTGGCTCTATTGGTTTACTGTGCCCCACAAGGTGCACTCTCCTGCCCCAGGTCCACAAGTGTGATGGCCCTTCCGGGGCAGGAGCTGTGGGGATCATGTGAGAGGACATTCTGGGGGTGCCCACTTGGTGTCAGGATGACTAGAGGGCGCTTCTTTCTGATGGTTGCTCATTTCTTTCAGGAATGACACGTGATGGGCAAGACCAAGGACACTGCTGTGGGTCACTTCCTAGCCAGGCTTGAGGAGACGGTGAGCCTGCCAAACCAGCCTGCCTCGTTGTCTTCTCCAAGATGCTGCCAGATGCTCAGTCCACCTACTGCCTCTCAGGGTCTTCAAGGACAGCAGCAGCCTGCCTCCCTCTCCGCCTCCTTCCCTTACCCAGTCACTCTGTGGTTATTTTGTACTTCAGGCTCTGCCTGGTGGGGAGGCAGTGCTCAGCTGCAGAAGTTTATTGCCAAAGATTCTACAGAGACACTAAACAAAATGGGGGGATAAAACCCAACAGTGAAAAGCCACGCCATTGCTCCATGAATTCTTTTTTGCCTGTTGTCCACGTCCCATCTCAAGCCAAAGATGAGCCAGTACCTTCACCTGGAACTCATACAAGGAATGGAAATTTGGTCCAGAAGCACTTGGTCCTCTAATCCAGCATTGTGTCCACGACTGGACCCCAAGCTGTATGGATACATGACAAGCCTTCTTGGGACCATGAGAAGGAGGTTGGGTGGAGGGTACCTGGCTGCCTAAGTGTTTAACTCTGATTCTTTATGTTCCTGGGGCTCAGGCTCTTACTTGGGCCTTGAGTATCAGAGAAGGGAGTAAGAGGGGAAAGAAGCAATATTCCCCCCACACCTCACTGAGGGACTTGTCCCAAGGCAACCTACCCAAAGACCTTTGCTCCAGAGCTCAGCCCCTATCAGCTGCCTCTCCCCAGTGTTCCCCCTCAGCTGTTGGAATTGGGCAGACAAGATGGTACCCTGCTGGAGGCCAGTGGTCTATGGCTGGATGGGTAGAAGGGCAGAGGGAGGAAGGGACCAGGGAAATGGGCCAGTATGTGGGGGAGGGGCATGTTCAAAACCAAGGCCTGCTCCTTCCTTGTACTCCAGAGGCCAAAGCTGTTCACATCTGTGCTCAACCATCTGCTTCAAATTGAAGTAAAAGTCCCAACATGTAAAGAAAATGCTTGTGTTGAATAGACTTGATGTGTGACCAGCACTTCGACTGATCATTGGCTGGGGAGTTTTAAAGAAGGAGGCTGGTGTTTATCTAGAGGTTGAGGGTCCTATTATTGTTAATCCTACCATCCAGACAATGAGGCCCCAAGGAGACAAGGCTGGAGAGTGACAGAGCCAGGTTTTGTTTTTGTTTTTGTTTTTTTGGGGAGGTAGGGGGGTAGGAGGAAGCAATAATGGGCCTTACACTTGCTAGGGAAGTTCTCTACCCGCTTGAGCCGTGCCTCCAGCCTTTTTTGGTTTAGTTTTGTAAATAGGATCTTGCTTTTTGCCTTCAACCACCCCAGATTTTGGTCCTATTGATGCTTCTTACACAGCTGGATGACACGTGTATACCACATACCCAGCTTTTCATTTTTTTTTTTTTTTTGGGTCCGGTCGTGGGGCCCAAACTCTGGGCCTGGGCACTGTCCCTCAGCTCTTCAGCTCAAGGCTAGCGCTCTACCACTTGAGCCACAGCGCCACTTCCGGCTTTTTTCTTTTTGCTTATGTGGTGCTGAGGAATCGAACTCAGGGCCTCGGGCATGAGCTCAAGGCTAGCGCTCTACCACTTGAGCCACAGCGCCACTTCCGGCTTTTTTCTTTTTGCTTATGTGGTGCTGAGGAATCGAACTCAGGGCCTCGGGCATGCAAGGCAAGCGCTCTACCACTGAGCCACCTTCCCAGCCCCTTTTCATTGTTTTAAGGTGGGAGTTTCTCCAACTTTTTACATGACTGGTCTCAAACTCCAATCTTCCTGATGTCAGCTTCCCCTCCAGCTCAGATTACATGTATGAACTCCTGAGCTGGCCAGTTCTTGAAATAGGATGGCCTCACTCCATGTCCTGAGCAATCAAACCCTTTCTAGGTCTGTTTGCATTTCCAACCAAAATCCTTGTGTGGACTTACCACACCTTTACCTCAGCGGGCCTGTCTAGAATAGGGACAGTAAAAGCCCACAGGGATGTGGGCAGCGAATGTAATAAGAAATAGGAAAGGTGAAGTGGAGGCATGACTCAAGTGGTAGAGCTCCAGCCGTGGGCAAAAAGATCAGTGAAGACATTGAGGCCTTGAGTTCCAGCCCTAGTACTGGCACAAAAACAGCACAGGGAGAGAGAGGGATGGAAGGGGGAGGAAGGAGTGTTGGGGCTTTAGGGACAGGCTGCCCAAGGAAGGCAGCGGTCAATGATAGAGACCAGAAACTCAGATTGCCCTTTGGTCCTGCCCCCGGATGCCTGTGTTGTCTGGACCTGGGGTTTCTGTTAAGTGGAGCTAGCTTCAGGGAGCCGCTTGCTGTTCTCTGGTCGTTCTCAGCTATGGCTCTCCATCAATGACCAAGGTAGTGCCTGGCCCTGGATCCCTGGGTGAGCACAGAAGCAGGGGGATGGGGGGAGACTGCTCTGGGTACTCCTCAGAGCAGAGGTGTCCTGGAAGCAGGTTGGACAGGGCTTGCGATGGGAAAGGTCAGCCACCCTGGGACTCAGGCACAGGTCATGCGGCCATTCAGCACTCTCTCTGAGCCTGAGATCCTGGTGGCACTTCGAGAGGAGCAGGAGATAGAGACCAACCAGGGCCACATTGGGCCACATTGTAGATGTAAGAGGAACCTCTCTATAAAGGGTGAAGGCATCTTCATCATACTGCCTCAACACCCAGAAACTTACATAGCCTCCACCTCCCACCCCTCTGCTATCATAACCTCTGTCATCTTCGTCCCTTTCCTTCTGAAGCATCTGTGGATGCTCTGCAAAGGAAACAGATAGAGCCCGTGTAGAGACTGTCTTCTCTGAGCTCATGCTTCTATTTAGACAACAAGCAAGTAATTATGCTACCATTAGATGGCTCAGGTGTGGTTGCAAGCCTCAGGCAAGAAAGAACTAAACTCTCCGTGGGGATGCTAGGAAGGAAGAGCTTTGCTGGCAAGAGCCAATATGAGGGCAAGAAGAGTAGCAGAAGGGTCTTCAATGTAACAAGTACCTGGCCCTCACTGGCTGTTGGAACCACCTAAGGAGGTTATAATGGGTGAATACTAGAGCCCCATCTCTAGAATTTCTAGTATATTTGTCTGGTGTGTGACTTGGACACTGACATTTTCAAAAGCTACCCAAGTAGGCTAGAGGCATGGTTCAAGTGGTAGAGTACCTGCCTAGCAAACATAACACCCTGAGTTCAAATCCTAGTACCCACCCTCACAAAAAAACTACCAACTAAGTAACAAAGCAAAGCTCCCCCACAGGATTTTATGAGAGCCACTAGTCAAAGTGGGCTGGAGTATCTGACAAAATAGTGATTTAGAACCATGTATAGAAACATAGGCTGTGTCAAAATGTGTGTGTGTGTGTGTGTGTGTGTGTGTGTGTGTGTGTGTGTGTTGGTTCACATCTGTAATCTTAGCTACTCAGAAGGTTGAGATCTGAGGATCATGTTTTGAAGCCAGCCCAGACAGACAAATCCAAGAAACTTATCTCCAATTAATCACCCAAAAGCTGGAAGTGAAGAGAGTTGTGGCTCAGTCTTGAGTTAAAAAAAAAAGCTAAGCAACAGTGCAAGGCCCAGAGTTCAAGCCCTAGTACTGGCATCAAAACAAAACAAAGTGCATGAGTGTGTGTCTGTGTGGGCAGTGATGTGCACACATCTGGAAGGATGTGCATGAAAATCTGTGCTTGTCTTTCCTTTCCAGCTTCCTCTCCAGTATAGCAATGTGTGTTCCTATGTACACACAGGTACACACATACACACTGCCTCACATGCACACTTGCACTCAGATGTACACTTGTGTCTGTTTTCACTAAAGGGCATCCCTCTCAGCTACAAACCTGATCGACTAGCCTCTAAACAGTTCTGTGCAAGAAGACTTCTCACAATAGACATTATGAAGAGCCACCCCATGTGGCCTTGTGAAGGCATTTTTCAGTCCAGTGAGGGTTGAGGTGACAGAGCCACCTGCAGGCATGTTTGTGGCATGCTCATGTTTGCTGTGGATCATCAGAAGGCTGAAGAGGGACAAGACACCTGTGTACCACAGGCCTATGTGTGCATGCCAGCTTCCTGCTCCCCATCACAGCCACAAAGAATGACCCCAGAGTCACAAAATCCTCAGGTCTCAGGCCACACTTTTCAAGATCCTCCCAAACTCTATGCACAGGCTACAGGTTGCTCCTCTTCAGATGGTCCCAGAAGAGAAGGTGAAGCCATATATAAGAAACCCACATTTTAGACTACGGGAAGGAGAAACGGTGGTCATGCTTTTAATTATTTTCATCTTGATGGTAGTGAACAGACCTTGGTTTGCAGGTGATGTGTGGGGAAGATTTGGCTTACCTGGAGGGATTTTGGTATTTTAGTACTTGGATACTCCAAATCTTACTGATGTCCTTTACTGCCATAAGAGTCAGCCAGTGTGACATTGATAGATTCTTTGATGCTACCATTCATTTGATACATGAAGAGAGGGTTTTCAAATGCTATCAAAAAAATCAAAATGGGATAATGAAGGGTGATATATTCAGATAAAAATTTGATAAAACTTAAATTGAAGTAAATGGGGGTAAAGAGCAGGGTACCAGTGGATTATGCCTGCAATCCTAGCTACTTAGGAGCAATCTGAGGATCATAGTTTGAAGCCAGCGAAGACAGAAAAGTTCATGAGACTCTTATGTCCAGTTAACCAGCAAAAACTGGGAAATATAGGTGTGGTTCAAGTGGTAGAGCACCAGTTTGAGTGGAAAAAACAAAAACAACAAGCAAGAGTACAAGACCTTGAGTTTCCCAACTGGATGTCTTATTTCCACATACCCTTCATCCCTCTACTCCATCTTGTCCTTGGGCTGGGCCCTCTGTCCTGGCACTTCTGCTCTTTGCAACATCCTTTAAAACCTTGTGCTGGCAGGGTGTCGGTGGCTCATGCCTGTAATCCTAGCTACTCAGGAGACTGAGATCTGAAGATCGGAGTTCAAAGCCAGCCCAGGCAGGAAAGTCTGTGAGCCT